CATCGAGGAACTTTTACTTAATTATGCTATTCAGATCATAATTTAATTGCCATTAATATTTTTCATTAAAGTGTTTTAGCGGTATCGGAAAGCGTAACAATAAAATGTAACAATTGAAATCGCTTTGTAATTTCTTTGACCACTCTGAAGAAAGTAAAAAATATCTTTCCTTACTCTTTCTTCATTTCATTAGTTTAGTCCGTTAATATGACAAATGCGTATCTCTTGATTGTTCACCTCATTAATGACCGAGTGTATAAGACGGCTAAATATTGATAGTAATCTCGAGTTAAATCCCAAACAATGAGCTGTCTTATTGAGTGTAGCGTGGGGGTATATAAAGCTATATCCACATATGCAACATGATATGAATATAAGTCATATTCCTTTGGTAACATATGAGCCACTTCATAGTTTTTGAGCCCTTCGTGGAGAATTTTAGTACTCCACGAAGACAATCTTTTCCTCAGACAGATAACCGACTAGCTCTTACATGGTTCCCATAAAAAATGCACGTCCTAAAAACAGGTCGTGCCGTTCTTTACGCCCCCTTTTAGCTAAGTGATTGGAGATGCATAACTAAAATTCTGGAAACTTAAGGTTAATTTTCTCAATACAATTTGATAAAAATATTTGCTAATAGTTCAAAATTTTCAGAATGCGGGTACAGGTAAGGAAAATTATTTAAATAGTTAATATTTATGCACATACAATAATAAATTCTCTTCGGAAAATTAAGTATACGGGACTCATTTGTGGTATTGTGGATTGAGAGCTGCTAAAGTTGCAACAATCGCAATATTTTCAGTGACTATTATTAGACGTTAATAAATCTAATCTTTCCAAAGTTCTGAGATGAAAAGTTGTCGGTTTTTAACTCCTTGTACAAAGTAAAAAGGAAATATTGTAATAGCGAAAAATTTCGGATATCATACTTCAACATAAATATCCATTTTGATCATTCTCGAACTCATCTAGACGATTTCTTGCCTGGCGTCTGTAAGCACAGACAGAATAAAGACCTCTTTTTTTTTTTTTTTTTTTTTTTTTTTTTTTTTTTTTTTTTTTCCAAAACGTTTTGTATAATGAATTTAAAAGAGTTTTTTTGTGACGTCTATACGTATGTATATATGTACATATATACGTGTCTATATGTTTACGTCTATAGTACGTGTCTCGTATAAGTCAACACCTATTAGTCGTAGAACGCTGAAATGTTGTACAGGGGACTGCTATAACATCTAGTTGAGCACCTCGCTTTTTTATTTTTTAAGCATTTTAAATGACGAAATTGACCACGATATTTAATTTAAAAGATTTACAATTTTTTATGTCATTTTCCTCTTGCCTTGAGAAATCAGTTGATTAAGTTACATTAATTCGAGGAAACAAGTTTAAATGAAGTGCAGCAAAAATGTAAAAGTGTTTCAAATGACGAAAATTGGCAGTGTCATATTAAAAAAATTGTTTTGCACAAGTAACGAATTCTAACTTTTAATGTGATTTCTCAGTCCCTATAGTAATATTTGAGAAAATTTGTAATCGTTATGAAAAAATAAAATTGCATGAAGTTTGACTCCCATACAACAAAAATTGATAGGGATGTTGAATTTCAGAATTTGTAATTTTGATGTCATTTTCAGCTTGCCATAAGGCATCGACAAATTAAGTTAAAATAATTCTAGGAAACAGGTTTAAATGAAGAATTGCAAAAGTACAGAAGTGTTTTAAGTGACGAGAATGTTTTAGCATTGTCAGTTTTTTTTTTTTTTTTTTTTTTTTTTTTTTTTTTCAAATATTAATTTTGTTGCAGTAACGAAATCTAACTTTGGGAAAATTTTTATCTTCCTTATTAAAAAAATAAAAACTCAAGATGATTCCCGTACGATAAAAGCTCACCGGCGCATTTAATTTCAATATTTGCAATTTTTGATGCTATTTCAACATGTCTTGATCGCTATATTAATTTAGAATAATTAGGGCAAACAAGTTTAAATGAAGTGCAGGAAGAATGTCTATAATTTAATAGGCCGTACTAGGAAGTCATATAATGTCCACATCAGATTTTTTAGATTCTGATTCGAAATGAGTACTGAAGTGAAGGTAAAAGTGTAAATATTAAAAGTATAATATATAAAAGTGTAAATAAGTTAAATTCTGATCGATCCTTATCTATAGAAAAAATTTTTAACTTATTATGAGTAATTTAAAATTTAACATATGACCTTAAATTTTATGTTTGAAAAATTTCGATGATGAATGATTTATTAATTATTAATGATTTTTAATTAATGATTTTTTTCTGGCGTGTCAGTTATGAGATTTTCAAAAAAAAATATTTAATACAGTTAAATAAACTGGGATAAATTGAAACAATGTTCTTTAGTTTTTTTGATTGATGCATAACATTTCAATAGAACACCAAATAACTATGCAGAGTCTCATAAAAGTAATAGGGATACTTATTTTTCAAAAATAATGTCAAAAATTTTAAACACTTTAAACTGAAACTATAGAACGTAACTTTTCTTTAAAGTATGTTTTATAAGGTATTGTCTCATTTCTTCAAGCATGCCTTCGTGGTGTAACGATAGCACCACTCACTCTCGGCGCGTATTTGAGAGGTCCAAGTTCGAGTCCCGACAAGGGCATTGCTCATTTTTCACGTCTCCAGCATCAAAAAAACTAATGACTCTACAGTGGTTTCCGAACTAAAAAGTGGTGGACAATAATTCGCCACCACCAGGATTTGGCAATTTGAGTCCCCTAATCCCCAGTCCCGTTTATATGCCTTTTTTACACTAAATAATTTCTTACCTCGTATAGTTGCAATTATTGTTTTAGGGGAATATTTTTTCTTCGAAATCATTTCTTTCAAATGCGTTCAACAGGGTTTAAATCTGGACACTCATGACGTGCTTGAGAATTTTCTGATAATTAAACAGATGCCAGATTCGCTCACTCACAATAGTCATTGTCTTTCTGAATACTTTTAGGTTTTGTACAATATATTTGAAATTATTTTGCAAGTTACGTTTTTGTGCAGGTGATTTCAAATTTATGTTTAAATTATCATAGTATTTATACTTATCCCTTAAACCACCAACAAAATCAAGGGCACAACAGGTGGCATATACTTCAATACCATAACTCTTCATTAATTATGGACTGCTGTTGAAATTATATTTAGTTTTTGTAATTTTTTTGCTTTTGCTTCATTACAAATTAACTTTCCAAATAGACGATGCTAAATTAACTTCCGCCATCAAATATAAACTTGTTTAAGTTTTATCAAAACTGTGATTACTACAACAATAACAATAAATAATTTTTGAACAACAACAAATAATTGTTGAAATTACTTCTCATGGATTTTGAAAAAGAAAGCATAAGTCTACTACATCTTTTACTGGTACAGAAATGTTTTCCTTGTCACCTTGCTACTTTACTTATGAGACACGACACCATTTTAGTAGATTGTGTTTTAATAAATATTTCATATAATTTATAAAGATTTTTCAAAGTTTGAAAGCCACCAATCTTTTATTATATTGTTATTTTTAATAATATCTCATATTCCTAAAAACAGCTGCGATAATCTTCCAACTCTTCTTGTTTTAAATTCCATTACGCTTTGAAAAGCATTTCATTACCACGAAAACAGTTAAATGCTTTAAATTAATCATATCACCAAATTTCCTAAGATGATTTTATTCTACAAATTTAATAGCAAATTATTTAGACTTCTGTGATACGACTTCCCAACTTTATGGAAGGCATATTAATTTTTAAGTTGCATATTTTATTTTTTGGAAGAACGTAAAAAAGAATATTGAGTAAGGTATACTTCAAGAAAAATCACATTTTGTAATTCCATTTTTATGACATTAAAAGTTTCGACACTACTTTCAAAAACTAACATTATTCCGTAACTTTTGCTAACTACTGTACTTCTTTCTTGTCAAGCAAACAATCATTTTTTTTTTTTTTTTTTTTTTTTTTTTTTTTTTTTTTTTAGATATAAGAATCATTATTAATCCCCAAATCGACCTTCTCGTATTTTTAATATAATTTTTATTTTCAAGCATTAGAAATTCATTTGAATATATATTGAATAATTAAGATAAATTATCTTAATTTAGTTAATTTAGTTTTAACTTTTTAATGAATCCTATAGTTCAGTAAAACCATCGAAACTAGTCCTGTGAAAATTTGCAAATGTAACGCTGATTTTTTTGTTAGACTTCTAAATTAATATATTGAATAGTTTAAATCGTTTGCAAAGTAATGATTTTAAATTTTTATTTCAATTTGTATGTTGATAAAATAAAAAACTCTTGCATTACGATCAATTTGGAAAAATTTTTCCGTATTTTTAACCTTCTTTGTTTTTTACAATTTTTAGGCCTACATATTATTGAAAAAGTTGACTTCGCATTACCTCTATGCACTCTTAAATTTTGGAAATGAAATCACATACTTTTGGTACATTTCATCTAGAATCGTTCTGTATTTACACGGTTTTGAACATTTTAAAAAATATAATATTTACTTATTTTATAAGAAATACAGTCTGTGAATTTAACTATTGTATCACCTTTCATGCAAGTTGATCAAGATAATTAAATTTATAATAAATTTCCTGTTTAAATTCATTTAGTTTATATAAATATTTAAAGCATAAAAAAGAAAAAATATTCTCAAAGTAATTTTACGATTTTAGAAATAAATATTTTTAAAAATAAATTTAATAATCTCCATTTTAAAATGGAGATCAGAGAACAATCATAACGATAATTCTTACGTATAAAAATGCTTAGATCTGTGTAGAATTAAAAAAGGGCCTTTCTGCATTTTTGTCTGAGTAAACACTATTCATACACACTTCATAAAAACATACGATAAAATCTTGTTATCAATTCTGGATTAAATAGTTAATATTTTTGGCATATTACTTTGAATTAATTACCTCTTATTTATAAATGTATTTTATTTTTCAGGTGGCTAAGATATTTTTATAAATTGCTATTTACCTTTGGTGAAGATCTGAAGTGAAATCAAAAATCAACAAGCTCTGAGATTGAAACAAATTTCATTTTAATCAAACGTATATTATGCAGATGGCATGTTTCAAATTTCTATAGTTATTTGGTATGATCTCTTTGCAAAAAATGTGTCTATTTTTTTATCTATAACGCTAGTTTAATATTTATTAAAATTATTTTAGTTTCATTTTTTCGAAGTATTTACCTCTCATTTATTTCCAGTATTATTATCCTTCTGATTGTAAATCATATTGCATTATTGATTGTAATTATCTTTATAATTACATTGGTGAAAATAAGGTTACTTGAAAAGTTATTGTAATTTAAATATTTTAAGCAAACGTAGCATTTGCCTTTACTCTCGGAATCAAGTAAAAATTGGATTTTTTATTGATGACCGTACAGTATATGTGATTTTCTATTTATGCATAACTTTATTTTATAATCAGTTTGCTAATCCCCTTATCCCTTTCCGGCACGCTACCTTTTAAAGTCGGAGTTTTGATTTAAAAAAAAGGGTAGGCAGTCTAATTAGGCTTAGAGGAGTACACAAGTAAAATTTTGTAAAGATAGCACTTATCGTTTTAATTCTGTGGGTGTGTCCAAAGTGGCATACTGATTGAAAAGAGTACTGAAACGAGCATTGTTGTCAATGAACTGACCGATGAGATGCGGAGAAACAAAGAATACAGACTCTCAGTTGTCCTAGATTATCGGTGAGCCCGGTCTGGGCACACCTAGAGTTCGCCGTTTGATTTTAGGCAAGATTTCAAGGTAAAAATTTTAAACTAAAATAGAATAAGGAGATTAGCATACAGCCAAAAAAATAACGTAGAAATTTCTTTTCACACAAGTCCTTTTATGCCCTAAAAATATCTTTCTTTGAAAAATGAGGGTCTTAAAAAACTAAACATGGCTAAAATATATGGACTGGTTTGTGTTGAGCTGCCATCTACTCTAAATAAAGAAGGTTCAGAATAACCTATAGTAACCTATAAATCCTTTTTCATTCAATTTTTCTGTGCATACAGAAGGAAATTTTTAGGTGTGTCCAGACCGGACACACTGTGCCTCAAAGGGTTAAATTAAATTATTAAATAAAAACTTACTTGGTGTATTATTTGTCTCTTATTGCCCCTCCTCTTCCTTCGCGGAAAATTTTTTGCGGTCGCCTGTAGTTATATATAAAAAGGATGTAAAACAAAGTTACTGAAACAAAATAATGTAGAGCTCAATCTAAATTAAGCAATTTACTAGTATGTTAATTAAAAGGTCAGACATTTGGTTTTGTAAATTTAAAGTATAGTTTCGCTTCAGATAATGTTTTCGTGGAAGACAACATAGCCTACAGATTTCTTCATTTTCTAACAAAATCTTTTAAATCTGCTAATTGAAAATTAAACTACTTTGTTAAAAATATGGTACAGGCAATATTTGCTTCACTCAATGTTTCTGTCATTCAGCAAGCAATTTAATTTTATTATGCCTTGAATTTGCCATCATTATTTTGAATATCTCTTAGACCAAAAAGTTTATCATTGACTAAAGGCAAAATCTTAGGGCAAAAATTTTATCATTCGTTTTCCCGAATAATATGGGATTTATTAAGGTTTTGCGAATATTATATTTTTCTGTGAAAGTCAAATAGATCTGTTTATTTCATATTTCTTCTCATTAATTTAAATATTTTGTTATACTTACTAGGTAATTTTTGTACTTAAGTAAATTTTATGCTGCTCTGTGTTAGGATTTTATAAAAGTATACTGTAAAGTAGTTTTATTCAAACTAGAAGACTAAAATTTAAATTACCCCATGTTTTGCTGAAATCGAAAGAAAATTCGGTCTCGGAAGCTATATGAAGTCCTTTCTGTTACCTGCCAGTGCCGAACGATGCTTTCTAAAGCATGCTATTTAATGAAGAAAATCTGTGTATGTACAGTATAATGAATATAAACATAATTAAATTAAATGGTAAATCTTGATCTAAGTCAATGGTAAACACATTTCCCGAAAATTTGATTGATTCATAAATATAAACTTTACTTAACAAATGTACAAAATAACTTTTATATAACGACATGCTAATTGTGTTAGTGTTTTCTTTTTGGTGAAAATGATGAGCCCCCCCCCCTCTTCCCACATATTAATGTACATCCTCGACCGCAAAAGTGCCAGTGTAAATCCCAGACCACTGAAGTTTCAAGATTTTTCATTACTTCCTTCTCGACCATCCCCCCGAATTTTAATTTTCTCACCAGGATAAAATTACTACCGTGCCTATTATTATCATACCTGTGTCATTATTTCTAGGAAAAAATTAATCGAAATTAACCAAAGCTATTTTGTTGAGTCAACCAAAAATTCAAAATGGAAGCTCAAGGTTCGCTGCCGAAGTCAACGTCACTGGAGGCAGAATTTTTAGAACTTAAAGAAACATCGAGCAACAAAATTTAGGGATGTCAGTTTTTTTACAATTTAGAGAGGCATCAGGAAGTAGAATTTGGCCCCGCAGGAGATAATAACAAATGGCAAAATGCCCTGTAGATTGATATACCGTAAATGATTCTCAAATAAATTTTCTGATATATTTATTATATTCTAGAAAATTAATTTCGTTAGTTTTTAAAGCCATATGTTTTATACATTCCGGCTATAAATTTTAAATTGCCTTTATTCTGTGAGTTTATAACGTATAAAAGCAGTGTATAGAAATACTTCTTTATTTAATTTTATCAAATTTAAAGCTTGATAGATTATACATGAATTTTAAAACAATGTTTGCTAAATATTTATACCACCATTTAGTGTGCGTTAGAGCACATTATGATAGTTAGTTTTTAATACATTTTTTCTCTCTCTTTCAGGCTCACGTTTCTTTGGACACGTATAAAAAGGAAAAGGATATTAAAGTTATCTTGTGAAGCTTTTGTCTCATAAAATACATTTTTTTCTGCATTGTATAACACTAATGCTTTTGTAAATGACCTTTGAAAAAAATTAATGTGAGCGTTATTATAGAGTTCTATTCATTTAATTTACTGCATTATGTAGGAAAAGCATTGTATACATATTAAACTATATTAAGAATAATCAGTTAATTATTTTTTCGTGTTACATTTAAGTATAAATTTCTACACTTGTTCAGTTGCTTAAAGTAAAAATTTATAAGAAAGTAATTTAAATTATGTTTCAAGACAAACGAATTCAAAAATAGCTTTATTGTTTAAAATAATGGGCGCAAAAGAGATATCTCCATTTCTTATGGAAAAGAAGACCTCCCGGAAACATACCTGTTTTGGGGTACATTAATGTATTATCACTCTTTTTCCCAAAAATTTATTTATATTTTCCGAATCATGTTGCTCTCATATTAATTTAGAAAACAGTCTATTTTATGTTGCATCAGCAGTGTTAGATGTGTTTATTCTTTAATTCAGACAAAATAACTAACTGAAATGTCACCATTCATATTGAAAAATAGTTACCTAAAATAGTTATTCCCCAATTAAAATATAGTTGTCCGAAATTATTCGCTCCCAAATAAAAAGTAATTAAATAGGATAAAAGGAGTTCTACTTTGAGCTACTTAGTACAATGTTAAAAAAATGTCCAGAGCGAATAATGTCTAAAATACTTTTTTAAAACAATGAACAATATATTGTTGATTATTTAAAAAAATCGTAAAGTTGTATTCAATCATCGATACATTATTTTATACAAAAGAATCACTCAGTATCTTCGCATAATCAATAACTCTCTTTCTTCTTTTCTCCCCCCCCCTGAAATAAAAAAAATTCAACTCCTGATCTCTTGAGCTCTTGACTATTCATCCCAACGTCAGCATTTTAGAAATTCCCAAACCCAAAACACCTCAGCACTACTCGCATTTTGAGCAATAATAATAACAACAGCAGAAAAAAAAGTAGTGTAATCCGAAGTCTTAAAAAAGAATATATATGTATATATATATCGACAAAAGGTAAGGGGTGGCACAATTTGTTATTGAAACATTCACTACTCAACCTACAATGATCATCAATCCAGCTTTCTGGAAGGTTGGTCCCCAAGTAGGGTGCATGCGCAATAGCCAGGCGCAGACCACGCCTACGTCTACCTCCAAGAATCATTAGCGCATCCCTTTGTTATCTTCTCTCCTCTTCGTGTTCTTATCTTTAGAGCTTATGGAACGAGGTGGGGTGGAAAGGAGAGTTGCGCGAGATAAAATTAATAATCAGTAACCCCTCCCATACGTTTTATATCATTAGAAGACACGGCGGGGGAATTCTGGCTCTCGCACAGAAAGAGAGAGAGTTCTCTTCCATATGCTGAAGTCGCTCCTTGCTTTTAATATAAAGCATAACAAATGATTCAACCAGCACTTTCAGAGATAAGTTTAATGGCTGAGGTCCTGGGATAAAGAGCAGAGCTGTTGGAATTGTGGAATAGCAGCCAGCAGTATCAGAAGAGATACAACTTCGACGTCAGGAATAGAGATGAGGTTGTGAGAGAAAGAGAAGGTGGAAAAGAAAAAAAAAGAGAGAGAGAAGCAAAAGTTCGAACATTTTTCTTCGAGGAACTTGGATCGGGTTTTGGTGTCAAACTGAACAGATTTAAACCAATGGCAATGTGACGAAATCATTATGTATGTTACCAGAAGAAATATCTCGATACCCATGGTCTCCAAACTATGTCCCACTGATCACTAAGATTCCGTACGATTTCTCTACACATTCCCCAAGTTAATATCGAAATTCAAAAGAATTCCTGAATACCATAGAAAAAAAAACATAATTTCTAAAACCATTTAAACTTTTGATTTTCGTTATAGGAAACAGCAATCCCCTTTAACTCAAAATCGTTGTTAAAAAATACATGAAATAGAAATAGCAAATAATTTAATTAACAGAAATATACTGTTAACAATTTACTTATATTTCAATAAGTTCATCTGATTACCTAAATTAATCAGCATTCAAAACAAAAATAAAACACACGTAAATAACAGAAGAATAAAGATCTATAAAACAGAAATAAACGAAATTTTAAATGCCATTAAAAATACTGTTTACAAGACAGCTTGGTTAATTACATCGAGCTCAGACTCGCATAAAAAGTTTCGTTAAAACTTTTGGATGGAGAGCATAGCACATAATAAGACATAATTTTTTATCAATACTTCTACCCCACGGATCTTTCTTTTCCTCTTTATTTTCCTCCCCCCTTGTAGGCAGTTCTTCTTTAGTCTGACGGTTTGTGACAATGATTCTTTATCGTTCTAAAATAAACTAACGTAGCTAACTTTTAGGCAGAGTCCGTTTATTATTATTTAATCACTTCCCAAATTGAATGTAATTAAATAATAGTTTTTTATATTTCTCGCTATTGTTACTTAAATAAGTTTAAAGTTCGCGTGTTTTATCAGTAAAATTATGAAAAAATAATTAAATATGTGATGAATCCAAATTTTTTCCTAAAGTGAATCCCAAAATTTTCTCAAATTTTTCGAATCCTTTTTATAATAATAATAAGAAAAAAGAAAAAATATAATGTGGATACCACAAGAATTCATTGTACATCCTCTTAAATTAGGTACATTTTCGCGACACTTCATTTAAACGTATTTCGTGGAATTATACTAACTTAATTAACCAATTCTTCCAGGCAGGTCGAAAATAATATCAAAAATTCCCAAATTTTGGAATTAAACATCCGGGTCAATTTTTTTCGTACGGAAGCTAAAATTCTTATAATTTTATTTTTTCGTAACGAGTATAATTATTATGAAAAAATAAACGAGAATTTATTTATTTTTCATAATAATATTACGGAAGCCAACCTTTTTATATAATATTATATTTCATTGCGGAATATTATACTTCATAATGGAGTAATATTATATTTCATAATAAAATATTACGGAATATTACGAAAGCCAAACTTCTTATAATTTTATTTTTTCATTACTAGTATAGCTTCTCCAAATATAAGTATAGGAACTGGGAGACCACAATAAAAGTTAGATTTCTTTATTTGTCCAAAATTAATTTTTCTTAATTTGATATTGATAAAACTTAAAAGTTCCTCATTTTAAAAGATTTCTTTAATTGGAAGCATATATTTATGACCAACGATTGCGAAAATAAGGGCCGGGTAAGACATGGGTATATATACAGATATATATACGCTTGGTTCTGCCGATTGCAACAACAAAATGGAGGTGCACTACTAGACATTATACCAGTCCCAGATACAAAATTTCAGATCTCTAATCGTTCTTGATTCAAGCGAGATACATACGTATATACGTACATGCAAACGTAACGAAAAAATCCATTTTAAATCTGTTTTAGTGAAAAAAGTTTCTTTATTTTGTTCGTACGTACAGAAGTAATGCAAAAAGATAATTAAATTGGATTTGGGAACCGTCAAAATGGATATTTCCGTTGAAATATGATATTGGGAATTTTTTGTGATTGCAATACTTCCTTTACTTCGTACAAGAAAGTAAAAAAAAAGTAAACAAATTATGCTTCTTAATATTAAAGGCTAAAAGCAAAATTTGAAATATGCGTTTGATTAAAAACAAGTTTTCAAAAAAATTAAAAATACACCTACATTTATCGATAAGATGCAAATAAAAGTTAGCAAACAAAGCTCATAATCGAACAATTTGAATCTCATTTTTTGATTATAATTGTGCAAAAATATTTAACTATCCGTTCCCATTTTTCGCATTTTCTGAAATCCTACTAATCCCAGGCAAGAAAAGGGGATGGAAGGAAAATTATTATGGGAGTTAGCCTTGAAAAAATACTAAATATTGAATACTAAATTCCCTCACGAAAATCAACACAGTGTAGTAGCCAGGGCCAGCACGAATAGATATTCACACCCTAGATCTACTAAAATTGAAATTATTGCTTCACTTTAAATAGATGCTTTATTCTAAACCAATAAAATGAATCTTCCTAAAGTTTTGATTTAAAAATTTAACTTTTTTTTAGTTTGGCACTCAAAAAATTCGAATACCGTAAGAAGTGCATAGAACAATCTTAATATGTCATTTGGGGGGGGGAAAGAACTTGCTCGTTCCTGGGTTGTACCTAAGAAGAGAAAACATTCGAATTTTTCGAATCTCCAATCTTTTTCAAAGATTTATAAAATTCAAATATTCCTATGTTTCATCCTAGAAATAATGATTTTCTATTTCCCGATTTCCACATGACATATATCAATGCTTTTTTACAAAAGAATGAATTCAGCAGTCCACTATCTCTCATATCATAATGGCATTTCAAATTTTCTCATTCAATAATTGTTATTTATGATAGAACACTCAGTACCTGAGATAAATAACTAAAACTCTTTCTCGTTGTCGTGCGATTCTTTTTTGTTTATTAAATAAGTTCTTTGTACGGATTATAATCTATAAATAAGTAATTTGAGTTTATTTCCGTTTTAAATACATCAAATGCCCGCATATTGAGTTGATAATTGGATTAAAAAGTAGCTGAGAAAATAACATTTCATTCGTACTGTTTAGCTTACTTAGTAGGGGCTTGCATAAAATTCTAAAAATTTACATTTTGATTTGAAAGCTTTCACTCATAACTGCAAACGTAAAAAGTTATTTTTATGAATCTAAATGGGAATATCAAGAAACAATTATGTGCGGAATAGAATTTCAAGGAATTCAAGAAAAAATAGTTGTCGCTTTAGGCAATGGGTGTCCTCATTCCCAAACGCCACATTTCTCTTTTAGCTAATGTAAACACTAGCCTATTATTTCACAGAGGTGCTGATTTTTAAAAGTTTGAATCATGAAAATTCTTGAACGGTTAAAAATCTGTTCTGATATATAAACGGTAATACCTTTCTAAAACGACCATTCACGGTTCCAAATGATTTAAGTCTTCTATAGAAGTGGTCGTCTTAGAGAGATGAAGCTCAGAACTGATGTTTGCTTACATTCCTTGAAATATTCATCACTTTCATAGAAAGTCACCTTAGAAAAGTTGATCGCGAGGTCAGTACTATTACATGGTTTATTCT